TTATGGGAAAGCTATAATAACAAATTAGAATGATTTTGCTTAACCCCAAAAATTAGCTCATAAAATGATAATTGCAAAAGGATAATAGTTAGGATACTCAAACCATATATTAACATATTAGTGTGTGATATCTTTTTTTTTTTTTTTTTTTTGATAACAAGTGTGTGATATCTTAACATGTTGATAATTAGACGAAGAAAATTATTAAGGAGTCTTGTCAAAATTGCCCAAAAGAAATTGATTAAGAATTTCGGAGTACACTTAATATCGGTATATTAAATGTTCCGAACTACTTAACTAAAATAATAAGTATTTTCAATTTTCATGTTTTTCTAAAGATCGTATTTTGGAAATAGATAGAAACGAATTTTTTTTTTCTTTTTTCCGCAAGGACTTACAATGACGGCATATAAGATATATTGATAATATTCAAAATTATTTGTCACTTTATGTCTTTATCAACAAATAAGAGGGCATTTTCTTATTATTTAATAACAAGAGAGAATTCAGGTTTATTAATCAATGCTCCGTTCTAATTAATTTCAACTTGTATATTTCAATTATATGAGCCAAAATATTTCAATAAATATTATTATTTTCATGTATTGGGCTTACTGAAGGTGTAAAGTTGAATGATAACAATGGAAACAATGCTAGCCGAGATTCTTTTGAGAAAATAAGGCTATATTTGATTACTGTTTTTAAAAACAATTTTTTAGTTTTCAGAACAAAAAAACTTATTTGGTAAACCCTATTTTGTAAAAAAAGGAATTAAAAACTGTAATTACTTTTTTGTTTTTAGAATCAAATTTAGAGAACATGTCCGAGTTATTTTTGTTTTCTGTTTTGGTTTTTAACTTTCAAAATTAAAAAAAACACAAAAAACAACTGTTTTCATAATTATTCTACAAAACAGTTTTAAGAAAAAAAAAACTAAAATACAATCAAACAAACTCTTATCTTCTTTAAAAGGAGATTATTTTCTCAAAAAAAATATTGCTTACTATGTAAATTTTTGCTTTGGAGGAAGTTCACCTTACAAGTTTTTTTGATTAGGAACAACTTATCACACATGAGAAAGAAAGGATTTTTAATTATATCTACATTAATTATTATTACATATAACATAAGCCAAATTCTTTCATATTCCTCAGAACACCAAATCAATACAATCCTCTATACAAGAAAATGTATATGAACCCAGTGAGTAGCAAAGGGAAAGAAACAACACCCTTGTACAATAACGTAGACCTTTGTGGCTCCTCTTCCATAATAGGCTCCAATTTGAAAGAATTCGAGGATCTTCGACTCCTAGAATGAGATATTAAGAGGGCTGGTGCAACTTCACCGAAATTGTGGATGGATCTAATCTGTCTTACCATTTTAAATTAAACTCAAGAAAATTCTTTGTTCCTGGGTATAATATATAAGATTCTATTAAATATTGATTCAAGACCGAAGGCAAATTATTGAATAGAACAGGGAAGGTAACGTGAGTTATATATATTGAGGGTGCAAAGGTAATGTGATTTCGATCCCGGGAAAAGAGGACAAAACATGGGAAATCCAACGATATTAGATGGGAAGACTAAATTTTCAATGATGGAAAATAACTAAAATTGAGAATCTAGTTCGATTATGTCTTCCACAACAACTAGATATTAGGTGGGTTTTTTTTTTTTTTTACCTATTTGGGAGGAATTTATAGCAATAGATTCCTTTTTGTACTTTTGGTCAAAGCATTCCGTTATACGTGGTAGATTGATGATTTTGCCTCTCTTTTAAAATTAATTTATCATCTTGTTCCTTTTTTGTAAATTATATACCAACGTGTCCCTCTTTTTTAAATTATATATCAATATGTCCTGTTTGATCAAAGTTTAAGCAAACCCTTGTCCTTGAAAAGTCATTTACTTGAGTAAATAATTGGTAGAGTGGTGGTAGTACCATCTGTTTATTTTTCGTATATGGTTTTTGCTGAACACTTGAATAAGTAACTAAATCGAAAACCATTTTATATCATAGGATCAGATTAGTTCGTTGGGTCATCTGGTGAATTCGAACCTGAAATTATTCTTTTGCATTACAAAGAAAAACTCTTTTATTTTGGTAGTTAAGAACTCATATGTTTATAAGCTTGCATAAATATTGTTTTTTTCCCTTCCTAAATATAAATATTTTAAAATTTTACGTATGAATTCGTTAAAGAAAAATATATATAAAGCCTCTATTAAATTTTTTTGTTATTTTCGCTAAGCATTTTAGGTAAATCTAGTAAATGTTGATGAAGAGATTTAACTACAAAATGATAGATTAAAACAAAAAATTGCTATATTTAAATGAATTTTAAAAAAAAAAATTATTGCCTGAGTCTCTATCACATTCACTCTATATATAAAATCTCTCTCGAGTCGACCTTTCCATTTGACCGTTTTCCACAGTTCCACTCCTCACATTCACTCTATCACAGAATCACTGCTTGAGTCTCAACCATTCTTTTGCAGTTTTGCCCCTTAGTTGGTTGTCCTATATGCCTTTGCTTAGCAAATTACCTTGTTAAGAATTTTTTATTTGAATTATAGTAATGTTACATCCTCATGTAAGAATAATTATAAACTTGTCACTACATATAACTCAAAATGAATTGCATTTTTTTTATTCGAATTTCAAAACAGTATTATTTTAAGTTGTAAGAGTCTCTAGTAATAAGAGAAACATTTTTTTTCAAATATTAATAATTTTTTAAACAGTTTCACACTTTGAATTGAATTTTTTGCGTTAATATGAGAATATTTTGCTATGTAAAATATAAGTGAAATTATATTTACAACCTTGCTATCTTTACAATTATTTTTTGACTGTTAAATTAAAACTAAATTAATAATAATAAAATAACACCAACTAAGATTCATTAAATAATTACAAGGAGGATGTTAGGATAAAAATATTACAAGTTTAGTATGTGTGGTAAAATATTCATAATGACTAATCTTATATTCCATAACATTAGTAACTACCCTCAAATCATCTGATCTAGTACTTGCGACTAGGGATGTAAATGGGTTAGGCCGGCCTACAGGGACCTACGACCTAGTCTATATTAGGTCAGATTTAGCCTGTTACAAATAATAAAATAGAACAGGCCTAGACTTTTAAAAAAACTTATTTAGAAAATAGGCCATAGGCTTTTTTGTACATATCGGGCCTATAAATCTACAGGCCGACCTATATCATATTATTTATTTTAAATAAAATAAATAAAATTATTTTATTAATAAATTTGAATAATAAAGTTATATTATCTTAGTTATTTTTTTAATTGTAGAATGTTTAATAGGCTTAAATAGGCCAACAGGCCTAGGCCAAGATTTTTATTTTTTAAATATAGGTCAAGCCAGACTTGTAATTTGGGGCCTATCCAGGCTAGGCCAGACCAAATGTTGTTTATATAGGCTTGGCCTATGTAAGTCAAACCCTAGCCTAGTCTATTTACACCCCTAGTTGCTACTCACCACAATCCATGTAGTGGTTATCAAAAACTCAACCACACTTATTTTGGGTTTTTATCATTAAAAGTCAAATGGGTCCAACCCAATAAGGAACACAATTAGGGTTCTCTTTGTGTGAAGCATCAACAACACTTTGAAAGGTGAATGAAAGGGAAAATAGTAGCTAAGAAAAGGGAAACCAGTCATTGAAAATTTGAAACTAAAACCGTGAGAAGAAAGGGTAGGTGTAGTCTTTGATCATTCTTCGATATCTCCTTCATCTGTCGTCTGATTGAGCCAAAACATTTCAGCACATTCTTGACTCATCTTTCTTTATATCCAACGTTGGCTTTTTTGATTGGAGGTTTGCATCATCACCAAAAATTTCCTAGCTGAAGTGGTTCAAGTGTAGGATTCTGCAGTAGACAGCGATCTTGCGAGAAGGCTTTCTCTTAAATGCACCATTGGATCGAACTCAAACTTTGACAAAAGTTAGAGCACATCTGATACTAGAATTTCACTATTTAGATTGTCGATTGGAGCTTTCAAGAAGGATTCGTGCAACTACAAACAGAGAATGTTAGTATTCCTGCTCTTTTCGGGTAGTGAGGTTCAAAGGAGAATATCTCTTTGGTCAATTTGTTCCTCTCTTGTAGTTATTTAATCTGACCGTTGGGATTTTGGAGTTAGATAGTTTTTGGTACAACTTGTTAAAGTTGTTTGTTGGTGTTCTTGCTAAATTGTAATTCATGTTGAAACCTTATAATCTCAATTTATTGATAGTGAAAAATTTAGTTGAACTTTGAAACTAGTCCAGTAGTTTTTATTGCTCACGTTGAGAAAGTTTTTCATGTTAAACAATTGTTTTATGTTATTTTGTTCTTAGTTCTTACATAGTTATTGAAATATTTATTTTTGCTGGTGATAAATCATTCTTAACAGGTCCTGGAATGAAAAATTGGTATTGATTTCAAAACAACTTGGTTGTTATCGGCCGTTGACAATGGATAGCAACGGCCAAAGTCACCGCTGACCATCCCCATCAACCATTGCTTTTGTATGTCGTAAGCTGGTCACCTTCCATTACTAAACAATTAGGTACCGGACTCGTTAACTTATCTCTTAAGTAAGCAAGCAAAGGTATGTATATTCTTAAATTTTTATTGGATTAAGATTAGGATGTATTTTAAGTTAAATAAAAAATAAATACTCTTATTAGATGTCTTTAAAGACAAATTCACTTTAAATTAGTCCTTTTTCATTCTTAATTGATCCCTTCAGCTAGTTAAACCACCCGGCAATATGAAGTTAGAATCTGGGCAGTACCTTCCTAGAAACACACCTAGCTATACTACCTTGAAACCTGAGACGGAGACACAGGCAGGATCAAATCATTCTTCAATTAGGGTTTAATAATATTTATATCAAACAATGACTTAAGAAAAAAAAAATCCGAAGGTTCACTCTTGAAATTTTGCTTCTAAAAGTTCATTAAAAAAATTCAATATCGACTACAAAAAATCCAATATTTAAACAGATTTAACTATGGATCTTAACTGCCAGATCCAAGAGTACAAGATCCCAAAAGCACAGTATATGGAGATCAACATAAGTGGCGCAAATGCAAGCTTATCACCCAAAAGTAGAGGGTGTAAAAATTGGCCCCATATCTCTACAACTACTAGACCTACCAGATAAATCCTCTCAGTCCAGCCAATAACAAAACCTCCTTTCTTCACAGCTGCACTTGAACTACCTCCAGATCCAAGTTGATCGACTTGTTTCTTTGTATGACCAGTTGGCGCTCTTCTTGTTTCAGCCCCATCATAAAATTGTGCTGAAAAGCCTGACCACATCAAAATGGAGTGCAAAAGCAGCAACAGAACTTTGATAGGATACTCTCGTGCCTCAAATAAAAGCGGAAAAAGTGAATAGCAGGATACTGCACACACAACGTAATCTGTGTGAATTCAAAGAAACAAAAATGGAAAAAGAATAGCATTGACATCAAAATTATGTGACTCGCAATTTCTGCTTCTTTAGCATCAAAAAACATTCTCACTCATTGAAAGCAGAATTTTTTATAGCAAACATAGAGCCAAGTTAAAGGAGGATCTGGAAAGTATAATTTGTTTCTTGGTTTGCTCTTATCTTTTATTCTGCTTGATTAATGTTGTGCAAGATGGAAATTATATTTGCTTGCTTTATATTTTGTTCTTAGCTGTAGTTGGGTTATGAAAATTATGAATCTCAGCAGTGTGAAGAACATACAGAAACGGGGCAGAGGATTACCAACCTATGAAGGGTGTAACAAGATTTATGTGACAATTACATTAGCAGTCGTGGTTCTACAAATTGTGTCAAAGGTTTGAAATCACGCACTGTTTCTAAACGTTTTGTGGATTGTAGATGATATTCACAAAAACAAGATTCCCAGAAAAAGATAAAGTTGATCTAGAATTTTTGTATGGCTTATTCTGTTGTGAGAAATCCATATACACTTGACAACTAATTGAAACTGTTTTAGCCATGCTCATGTAATTTCACGTCTTCAACAGTTTTAAGCATAACTAAATCATATGTCATTATCAGAAAATATCAGATCAGAGCCAACACAAACTCAGCCATTACAAGAAAAGGTAATTATTTCACCCCTTTCGTAAGGTGTCAGTATCCCTGTGTGAAGTTCACCCAAAAGCAGACGGAAAAATGACCACAGAACAACCAAAAAGTAAGAATTATGAGAAAAAAGTGTTTATTCTCATGGGCTGTTGAGAGAGGTAGAGGGTGGGAGGAAACAAAAAGATGGGAACAACCATACAACAAATGTTTCTTCTTCCTGTCTTGTTTTTATTTTCCTATCTCTTAAATTAATCCCATCTTTCTCCTCATATTTTCTCCCCATGTGTTTCAATTCTGATCCTTCAAATCTGACACACTTTCTCTTTAATAAATGATAGATTTTACCTTACAAACTCATGATGTTATTACTATATGAATCACAAATTTTGGTCTGCGTTAAATAAAAAGGGCGAAAAAGTCTAATTTATACCCTTTAATGTTACGCGATATGCAGTTTAGTCCTTCAAAAATATGCGAAAAGATCCTCAAACCTAACATGTGTGATGACATGATCTTGCCTAACATTCATCTTGTTGAGATATATAAACCATTAATGTAGCCTCATCCAACAGCTTAAGCTTTTAGATTGAATTGGTTTTTTACATGGTATCAAAGCCTCGGTGTACCGGGTTCGATCCTCACCGCCCCCCACTTTCTTTCTAGTGGAATTTCTTTTTGCGCATGGGTAGGTGGGCCTGTGTATTGTCCACCCTTCAAGCTCAGTGAACTCTCGTGTGAGGGGGCGTGTTGAGATATATAAAACCATTAATGTAGCCTCACCCAACAGCTTAAACTTTTGGGTTGAATTGGTTCTTTACACATCTAAAATTTGGCAGAAATTGTTGTGGTCAGAATTTTCATTTTCACACGACAATCTCCATCAAATTTTGGACGGATGTTAGTCAAGACGACTATTTCACACGTTAAGAAGTTAAAGGACCACCCCACATATTTTAAAAATTTAAGAACTAAATTACATATCGTGAAACGTTGTGTAAAGAAACATTCTAACCCAAAAGCTTAAGCTATTAGGTGAAGGCCACATTAATAATTTTATATTATGTTTCTCTAACACGCCCCCTCATACAAGAGCCCATTGGGCTTGAAGGGTGGATAGCACAGGCCCTGCCTACCTATATTATGAAACTCCACAATATTTATTTATTTATTAATAGAATGAGAGCAGTAAAAATTGAACTCATGATCACTTGATCAATGAGGCTGTGATACCATGTAAAGAAGTAAAAACCATTTAAACCTCAAAACTTAATTTATTAGGCGAAGGTCACATTAATAGTTTTATATTATATTTCTCTAACAAATTGAAATGTGTAAATAATAGACTTTTTCCAATAAAAAATGTGTCATATATAATTTGCTGAAATAGAAAACTGAAAGAGAAAGATGCTAGAAGCATAGCACTACTATTTTGTTCTCTCTATTTAATTTTCAATAATTAGAATCATTCAAAATGTGGCCATCAGAATTGTTGTAACATACTAACATCGCAGTCTTCATAATGCGGACATCAGAATTTTGATTGGCAATTTTTACTAGGTTACTTATGAAGAAATATGCATGGGTTTCAATTGTATCGATTCTCATGTAATGTATTAATAAGACTACGTATCATTTGAAGGCTTTACTGTTTATTTTTATGATTTTAAAAATGCTTTTATTTTTCCTTTTAAATGATCCAAAGGGGACTAAAAGTCTTACTGCACAACACCTATGAACCTAGCATCTGAGAAGTCTACACCTAGGCACCAAAAACAATAGATGGAGCATTATTCACAGCTCGCAAAAAAGATAGAATAGGAAAGGGCCAAATTTGCAAGACTACTGCCAATTGACAAACAACCTCGAAAAAAAAAAAAATCACATTTAGTAAAATATTATCTTCAAAGGAGACATGCATCACTTGTGTTTTCCACAAGTAATGTAAAAAGTTATACGTAATTACCAGTGCATGCACCAAGACACACATTTTTCATAAAATTTATTTCATTTTATTTATATATTTTTAAGAAAAATTAATATCTAAAAAAGAGAGAAATAAAGGAAAAGAAAAGCATCAGAAGCCAGCAAACAAATCAATAAGCAATAAAAACATACCTATTGACAGTAAAAAGTAATGCTTTGCATCCTCCAGTGTTTGTGCTGCAAAAAGGGCAAGTGGTATTACAAAATGGAGTGATGCCTTCTCATGCACATGCCACCCAAAAAGAAAACCACAGGTATAAGCATAGGCTATCCATCTACTAAACATTTGGGGCTGTGGATTCTTCCAAGCCTTGAGAAGACAAGGAGATAGGGCAAGCAGAACCATTATAAAAGTCATGAATGGTGTGATCTGCAGATTAGTTAATAGAAAAATGAATTCTTTGATGAAACTTTTGAATAATGAAAAGCAAAAAGGTATAACTAAACACAGCTGTTATATTGTAGTCGTAGATTCAAACAACCAGTCATCAAGCTCTGTTGCTGATGTCAAGTGAACAGCAGCTTCTTTGAAGTTGCAATGCTTTGATGAAATTTTAGAATAACGAAAAGTAAAGTGGCAAAACTAAACTCAACTGATATACCAGTTATCAAGCTCAATTGCTGTTGTCAATTGAACAGCACATCTTGGAAGTTATAACGGCTAGCATAGAATGTGTAAAATATAAAAGCTAATATTACTCATCTCCTACCAATTATAAAGTTTCACAAACATCATTTCTTGATGTGGGACCGGTGCTGATTTTGAGTAATCAATTTGTGCCTGCAATGTGAATATTTTTATTTGTGATCTATATTTATACTCTTGGAAAATGAGAATTAAATTACTAATATTGTCAACTAGTTATCCAGCTTGGTTGCTGATATCAATTGAACAGGAGCATCTAGGAACTTGCATTGGCTAGCCTAGAATGTTTAAAAGAAGCTAATATCATGCATTCTCCTACCGAAGATCATGCTGATTCTGGTCAAATGAACAGAATCAATTAAGAGTTATTCTGATTTAGCAATCAATGCAACAGATTGATTTGGGAATTCCAATTATTTCCTTATTTAGCTAGACTGTTTAGTTTCTATAACTAGATAGATCCTATTCTGATCTTTGGATACCAGATTTTGGTCCTAAAATAATGGGTAAAGATACCCAACACTTGTATATATAATGTTACACCAAATTCCATCATCTGATCCTTTACCTACCAATTATAATGTTTCATGAATATCACATCTTGATGTTGGACTCGTGCTGATTTTGAGTTATCAAGTTCTACCTCCCTTGTAAACATTTTTATTTATGATCTATATTTCTATTCTTAGAAAGTGATATAAGGATCATTCAGGGAATCAGCAACATTTTCAACAAAATTAAAAATAATTTTCCAATATGGTGCATGATTACAAGCTTAAAGAAAAGATATAACACCACCATCCCCCTTCTCCTACTAATAAAAAGCATACAGCAAAGCAAACATAGTATTTCAATCCTCTGTTCTAATGCAAGCACGTGATCAGCTTAACATGGGGGATAACATCTCCTTGTGTGTGTTTGTGGTTTTTTTTTTTTTTTCTGCTTCATAACAAACAAATTTATTCAAAGAACAAAATAACACATAAGTAAACCTTACCTGAGGTAGTACAGAAAAAGGTGAGGAATCCCCTACTAGTCCAGCAGTGAACGAAGCTGCTGGTGTCTGGATATTAAACCCAAGTTTTCTGAATGTGAAAGCAATTCCTTTGTCTGACATGATATAGAATACCCAAAAATTTGGGGCCCAGTATGCGTGGCAAAGCCCCCTGCCAAATGGAAACAATCGTCGGATGACTTGTTGTATCTGCAATTTATGATTTGAATAATCAATAATGCAAAGAGAGCATATGAAATAACTTCACTTCTCTACAGAGGAAAGTGAAGTAATACAAGAATTTAACCAAGAAGGATGAAGGTTCTTCCTGCTAACTTGATCATGCAAAGTTGGTAATTCATAATTGGTAAACTAGATAAAAGATAATATAATTCTTTGCAGAGTCTTGCCATGCAGTAGTCTCAATTGGATATATAGTTCAGGTGGTAATTTAAATTGGATTTATTGTTTCTTGTTCTGGTTCAGTGGAAGAGCTTCTACTAAAAAAGCATTTGATTGCTAACTCGAAAGGTAAAATGCTCAGATATGATAAAGTTAAGTACGCTAGTAAAACTCATTAGTAGAAGCTCTTCCACTGAACCAAAACAAGACAATAAAACCAAATTAAATAACCACTTGAACTACATATCCAACTAGGCATAAGTCAAAACATAACATTTTCTATGGTTATGTTATTTCGATTTCAGTGGTGTTTAGAGCTAGTGGTATCCTAAAAAAAGAAATTGGAATCCCGAGATATTAAATGTAGCTAGGCACCAGGATCTCATAATTCTAAGGGAAAACTAACGGGAAGGATCACAAATAATAGAGAATTAAAGGTGAAGGACCAATAACCATTCTTGTAATGGCAATGACCTTCAGAATGGTTAATTGGTTATTCCCATAAATTTGTATATAGCGTTCCTTTTATGTTAATTTTCCCTAATACTAATACATGGATTTCAACTGGCAGATCTTATTTACTTTCTATTTAGTTGAATATTGTGGTATTCAATTTTTCCAGAATAAAGAACTCACCTGTTTTTTGACAGGCTTGCTAAGAATGTATTTGAAGATAATTTATTACACACCAGCACTAATAAACATGCAATTTCTGCCATGCAAGCTGACAACTAGATAATTTCCATACGCTGTCAAAATACTACAAATCAACACCAATTACCCATCTAAATGAGGGTCCACCACATGAGCTAACTTGTAGATTTGATTAATCAGTTGCACCTAAAATTCTTATAAGTCTTCTTTTAAGAAAGCCATCAATTTCAAATTAGTCAATCGCAAGGATTTATCAAAAACATAGGGAACACAGTGTTGAATAATATATTCTATTTTAGGAAATAGATCCCATATTTCAAGATTATAATTCTGTAATTATTTAGCTAGATTTGATTAGATTTATTTTTTATTTTGCAGTTATATTATATCCTTTTATTATTGGTTGTAAATCCTATATAAATGAATTGGGGCTGATATAATTTTCTCAATACATTATAAAATTCCGCCCAATACACAGCATCACATATGGGCAAGACAAAATAATGAAGATTACCAAAAAAAAAAAAAAAAGACAAAATAATGACCAAGGATCAATCTAAGATGTAAAAGTTATATTTACCTGCCCAAGGTGGAAAAATGGCCCAAATGCAGATGCAAACACTGCAACAACCACACCTCCCATAATCAAAAGTCGACTGAAGCCTCTTACCACTCCACCCCAACAATAGTGCCTCAACAAATAAACAAAATAAACCGGGGCTGCCACTGCAAATAAATGCTTAAAGCACAAGAGAACAGCAAAAATAAACCCACCTAACAAATCCCTTCCTTCCTCCAAATATGATATTGAAATCAACAAAATCCCAATGAGAAATCCATTATACTGAAAATGTATATGGTCCACTATAAAAAGCATCGGTGACCAAATAACCAATAACCAGATCAACTTTTGCTTTCTTGAATCCAGATTCCGAGTGAGTCTGTAAACTCCATAAAGAAGTGACAAATCAGAGAGTATCACAGTAACTCTCTGGAAAACAACTGCCTTGTTTGAGCTATAATTCAGGCCCTCCTGAAGGTGCACTATTTGGGGATCAATGAGATGAGCAAAAATGGATAGAATGTGTTCAAAATAGGAAAAGAATGGTGGGTAATCAAGAGTCCATGGACTGGTCTCATCAAAGTACCACTGGGAAAGAGGGAGGGAGTGGGTCAATGCCAGCCAGTTGCGATGCACCTCAAAGTCTGTACTACGGTACGATGGGAAAAGGAGAACTTTTATGCAAGTAGCTACAAAAAAGAACCACCAGAGAATTTTGGGGCTACAAGAATCGTAAACTTCTTTGAATCTTAGTTTCTCTTTTCCCATGCTAGATGATGGGAGTGATAAAAGGAAAAAGTGTACAGATGTTGTATTTAATACATAAACCCAACAAGGCAAATTTTGTATACTTAAACAAGTTAGATTGGTTTTCAACCAAATATGGAGACTATATAGATGGAAATCACGATCCTTTCGAACTTCCTGCAAAAAAGTCAGCAGAGTTACCAAGAAAGCTTTTGGGAGTATCCTTTACGGCCAATATGTTTGAAGGACAGATTATTTACATTATGACCTTTAATACTTCTTCATATGCATATCTATTAGTAATAGGTACAGACCATTGATTTGATTATGTTTTGATTTAAGAAGTTAAAATCAATTTTAATATGGCTTGGCAATGAATTTACCCTTGTCAAGTTTTTATTCTTCGATAAAAGAAGAGATATTATTAGAGAGAAGAAAGATGAAGTACAATTAGGGGGAAGGATAAAACATCCTTCATAAAAAAAGAAAAAAGAAAAAAACTAAACTAAACTAAAAACTGAGATAACAATAAATCTCAAGAGTGCATCAAGGCTGTTAAAATTCTCCATATTTTGGAAATGGAGACACCTCTAAAAAATCCAGGAGAAAAGCACCAAAGACAAGCCAATAAAATAATCTTGTTCAACAATAGATTTAAAGACAAAGTGTCATTGAAAATGGGGGTACTCCGCTCAAACCAAATTCACCAAAGAACTGTAAAAATTGATGTCTAAAATTTTATCTTCCTTACCCTGAACAAAACCATAAAATCCAGTCAAAAGTAATTGTTCCAAAGTGATACAACCCGCCCAAAGTTCACCAAACAAATTTGCAATTGTTCTCAAGTTCAACTCAAAACTGAACCATATAAACATATTAATCAATTGATTCCAGAAAGACCAAACTGAAACTTCGCAAAATAGGGTCAAAAAATTACACTTCGACCTACAATAAGAAGATTCAGGGGTAGGAAGTGTTCTTTAGACATGAACCACGCCAAACAAGACAAATTCAAAAAAAAAAAAAGGACAAAAAAAAAGGACAAAAATGCAAAAGCATGAAACTACATAGTGAGAAAGGGCATATGCACAACAATTAAAAAGCACACGAATAAGCAACAAAAAGCCGAGAGACAATGGTGACAGGTAAGCGATGCGTATATCCACTTAGCACAAACAGCAAGACACCTTGTTTACATTAGATCCAATTCTCAAGCAGCAGCAACAACAATCTTAATACATTTTGCAATCCAATTCAAGTTTAAATCTCAGCTACTCGGTGAAACCGAGAAAATTCAAAACACCGGTTACATAAACACTAGAGATTTGACCCAAAAATGAAACCCTAAATTGAGAAGAATTCAACGCTTGAATGGAAATGTGTGTGTGAGAGAGAGAGAGAGAGAGAGAGAGAGAGAGAGAGAGAGAACGTTACCTGGTAGCAGGTGAGGGATCAACTGTGCCACCGGAGCTGATAACCTCTTCCCTCGTGTATATATATATATATATCTCTCTCTCTTCTCAGTTTCAGAAGCAAATGAAATTCATGAGTGGAGGAGAGTGGAGATGAAGCTTAGCTGATTTAAGCGAGTGTCAGCGCGTGGCCCTCACTGCGAATACCCCATGCTGAGTTTGGTAGTGGAGAAAAAAAAGTTACATATTAGAAAAGTTAATTTCCCGTGTTATCAAAAAGCTATTTCCTAGATTAAAATATTAGCGACAATGTTTGGTTAATTTTATTAATGTTATATTTAGTTAATGAGTTTATTTTTTCTACTATCAACGTAGATAAGTTATTTATATTAAATTTAAAATAATATTACTTTGGAATAAAAAGATAATTATAATTTATTTCAGAATTATAATAAATATTTTTATATAATTTTTTAATTCAAAACAATATCGTTTTGATATCGACTGTCACCGTAAATAACTGTGTAAAATATTGGTGATAATTTTATAAAACTAACCGCCGCATTGTTGCCTTCTCCTAACCAAGAATTACTCTTTAGAGTATATCTTCAGTCACAAAACATCACGTACTTACAAAATCAATCAACCAAGGAATGAAAAACCGAAACAAAAAAAACACACAAAAACTTGTCGTCTTGTTTGAGTTCAATTTCCAAACGAAAAGTGAGTCCGCATGTTTACTGAACTTTCTTTTTACAAATTCGAAATCACTCTTTTCTTCTCGCAAGTTAGTTGCACACACATGCTGAGGAAGATTCGAGTTTCGTTGGCAAGGACTATTTGTGGATCTATTTCACCGCCATTTTAGGAGTGGTTCTGTTTGTTCTCAACGTTGGCTTCGACAAAGCTTTTGTGATGCTATTTTAGGGATTTTCTTTGCTAGAGTAAGAAGAACAACCATTGATTCATGTAGCTGAAGAAGCTGCCCGAGCCATGTCAAAGGAAGGAGAACATGGACGAACAGGGGCGAAGAGACGAGGTATCTTACATCAATGGCTTTTTGACCTATATAATTCAAAATCACGAATGTTTGACCTATATAATTCTATGACAATACTATTGTCCATAATAATGCATGGCAACGTGACACCTGAGGCACCGTTTTGAGAGATGGTAGCTCCAAGACCGTTTGTAATGCATGGCAACGCGCCATCAGATGCACCGTTTTGAGAGACGGTAGGTCCAAGACCGTTTGTAGGTAGGTAACACGTCCCTCCAACAGACGTGTATCACAAACGATAGAATTTGCAGTCCTTAGAAACGGCACTGCACCAATCGTGATTGTTTGATGTGATATACTGAAAACGGTACTGACTAAGATGCGTCCAGAGATGGTAGGGTCAGCAGCATTTTATGAATAAGACAGCCACGGATGCCTGAACGCGTCACTGAGCGCGCCGCTTTCTGGAAACGGTAGATAAGCCAACGTATTGCAAGTAAGACAACCCACTCCCGAAAATGGTACCTACCATAGCGTTGTTAAAAAGATACTTTACTCACAAATATTAGGTCACATTTTGCGTGTGGGTGCTGTTATGATTTGTAAAATTTTCTTGCTTTCTGGAGCTATAAATACCTGTATTGCTTAGTTAATATCGGTTGTGTTCCTCTCCCATGTATACTGGTTATTTCGTGTGAGTGCTGTTATGATTTGTAAAATTTTCTTGCTTCCTGCAGCAATAAATACCTGTATTGTTTAGTTAATATCGATTGTGTTCCCCTCCCATGTATACTGGCTGGGGTTTTGTAATGTGATTTAATGTTATGATCTTGAAATATTTTTGTTATCAGAGTTAGTCTGTTGTTCTTCTTCTGATAATACTACATCGTGTTTTGTTTCTTATATTCTTCTGTCTGTGCAATTATTTTTATTTCACCTTCTATCGCAAATTTTGTTTACCAGTTCGTGTACTTGTATCACAAAAAATGAGTTCAAATTTACAAATAGTTTGTGCACTTCTATACTATAATGGTAGAAAGGTAATGGGTCGTCGTGATGTAACCTTTGAAGGTGAAAAAAGAACAATGCGAATTACACATGGTACTAGTTTTGAGCAGTTAAAGATAAACATTCATCATAAATTGGAATTACATGAAAATTGATTTATTTTTGAAGTGACTGTAAGAGCTCTTGCTGGCAATAAAGAGTATACAGCAATATCAATTACAGATGATGATGCCATCGATATTATATTAGATATCTTTGTGGAACAATCAGAAATAAGTTCTGATCAGAGCAATGCAAGAAAGTTTGTTGAGCTATACGTAGATGTTGAAAATGTCGAGGAATTGGCAATACTGATTCGGTCACTTGATCTGAATATAACAGCAGACGCAAAAATCCCATGTTGAAATGCGTCATCTTCTGCACCTTCAACAGCGTGCAACAATGCTTTATTTGAGGATCAAGAGGTTCCAATATGGGACCATAACGACAATTATGAAGAAGAAGAACACAAGGATGTGTGTCTGGCTGCTGAGCCTAATGACGATCAGTCAAATAGTGAAGATGATGACAAAGGTAATCCATCCACAACACCGACAATAGTGGGAAACACCACTCAAGGATTGTCATCAACAATCCCGACGATAATTGAAAATAACAGTCAAGGATTGTCATCAACAAGTTTTGAAGGGTTTCAAAACATGGTTCAAGGTTAGCGAACACATGCTTTATGAACCAATTTTTTTCGACTTTAGCTAAGGTTTAATGTGTTCATATGATTGTTCATTTCGATCTATGTTGTGTAGGTGATGGAAGCTCGAATCCGTTTTGTAGTGGCATTTCACATTACTCATACATTAATTATGATTTTTCGAATAAGGATCGAGAATAGAATGAGGGGGTTTATACTGATAAATAGACCATTGGGGATGAGTTGTTTGTTAAACAAGAATTTGAATCTAAGGAAGCAGTGCAAATGGCAGTGAAGTCTTATTGCATGAAAAGTAATAAAGAAGCTGTTGTTGTTGAGAGTACGACTCTGAAGCTAGTCATGAGGTGCAGGAGTCAGGATCAGGGTTGTCTGTAGCGAATGAGAGCAATAAAATCGAGAAATGGAGTTGTATGGGTTGTGACCAGATGAGAGGGACCTCATAATTGTGCCAGCAGTAATCTGTCTCAAGATCACAGACAACTTGATGCAGCATTTATTGCCTCAACTATCCTTGGTGAGAAATTTTATTTCTGTAAGGTTTATTATTTTACAGTTTATGTCCATCGGTAGTTAAGTAAAGTTATCTATGTAATGTTTTGGCAGATATGGTGAAGGAAGAACCACATGTGTATGTTAGGTTGATCCAAGAAAGAATCTGAAACAATTTTGGGTCTACTATATCTTACAATAAGGCATGAAAAGCTAAACAAAAAGCCATGGCGCAGATTTACGACGACTAGGATGACTCTTATGCTTATTTGCCTAGATGGTTTGATTACATGATGCGTTTTTCAGAGGGTTCTGTTTATCACATTCAAACAAATGACCATGTGGTTAATCATCGGGTTGTTAATGGTTACCGAGTTTTCGACAGGGTTTTCTGGACTTTCAGGCAATGTCGTACTGCGTTCAACTTCTGCAAACCTATTATACAAGTCGATGGCACACACTTATACGGGAAGTACAAAGCTATGTTGTTGATTGCCACAACGCAGGATGGAAATGATGAGGTTTTACCATTAGCTTTTGCAATTGTAGAAGGTGAAACAAAGGAAGCATGGGAATACTTTTTGGCTTGTATACGTTTGTATGTCATGCAAAAAGTGTTGAGATAAATTTTAAATGTCCGTTTTTTAGCAGTTTTGGTTTTTTAGTTTCTTGTGTCAGTTAGAATATTAATAAGTCAGTTATGTCAGTTAGAATATTAATGAGTCAGTTATGTCAGTTATAAAGTAATGAGGGTGAGTTATAAAGTAATGAGGGTGTTATGTGTGGAGTTATGTTTGTCAGTTTTATAGCTTATAAATAGCCTTTGATAGTTTGTATGAAATGTAGATCAAGTAGATCAAGAGAAAAAGAGAAAGAGCAAGAAAGCAAGAATAGAAAAGAAAAGTTTTTTTTGTAGATACACAAGTCTGGTTATCTCTTGCATCTGTGTGGATATTCAATTCTAACAAATTGGTATCAGAGCTTGGGCTATGGAGGAAAAGACCGAGATGGAAGTGCCACTCTTTCATGGAGATAAGGATGAAGCATTAGATTGGCTTCTCTGTTTGAAGGAACATTTTCGGAAAGAAAAAATCTGGACGGAGGACAAATGGCAGGTAGCCATGAGAAGACTCAGAGGAAGCGCAATCAAATGGTTCCGTACATGGAACTGCCGCGACTTTAATAATATGTGGAAGGATTTTCTAATGGCCTTCGTAACAAAATACTTGCCTGGACGTTTTGATCTGATTAATAAAGAAGATGAAATCTTCAATGATGATGATGAAGATGAGGAAAATGATGCGGATGAAGAAGAGACCGAGATGGCGGAATCCGAGGTTGCCAACGGCAACGCATCCGCGGAGGAGATTGACGTGTCGGAGCGCGTAAGAGACGACTCGAAGAAGAAGACGATAGAGATGACTGCGGCCAAGGGAGCCGAGATAGAAGAGGAGGAGAACGAAGGAGCCGAGATAGAAGATGAGGAGAACGAAGGAGCCGAGATCGAAGACGCTGCGGCTATGGGAGCCGAGATCGAAGACGCTGAGAGCGGTGAGTCAATTCAGAAGCCGGATAGAGAGGATAAGGAAGAAGACGAGATGTCGAAGGAGCTTGAGAAGCCAGCAAAGGAACGAGAAGCATGGAATCTGAGATGCTTGATGGAGACCGGCTTGGAGGAGACTGCGAATCCGAGTTCCGTGTTGATAACCGGGATGGGGGAGATCCCGGCTAAATCACCGAGTTCATGTTTTGGAGAAGAGCTCGACCCCGGCGTGATGAGGTTGATGTCGGAGACCGGCATATGCGCGTTTCGGGTTGGAAGTCAGAAGTCGGAGACTGCATTGAATTCATGGTGGAAGTGGAAGATGTCGACACCACCGAAAAGAGACCATTTCCCTGGAGGACGGTGGTCTGAGATTCCATTG